ATGTGCATCAAGGCTACTGAAATAGTACACAAAAACATCAATCACCGTAACTTGCTTGTGATTAAATTTTATACCTAATTGAACTTTTTTCTCAATGGAAAGTCTTTCATCTCATCTTTGTAATAAAACATGGCAATGTATCGTAAATTATGAAAGTTATTTTTACATCTAGTGGCAAGCTGGGGATTAAGAACAAATTAATTCTGTTTTGTTTGTGATGATGGTGCCTCTCCTTCTTTTGAAGGATCTTTTTGAGAGAGTTGCAGGCATGGTACAAATAACAATTTTGATTCCCCATGAGATGTGGACTTTAGACCTTTGCATTTCAGGCTCGGAGGCTCTACCTCTGCAGCAAACTAGGCCATGCCTACAGTGTGGGTTCATGTGTGGCACATGTCCGGCATACTGCTTGCATCTACATCTCAACAGTATTCTTAAATTATGTTTTTGCCAGGAAGAGATGTAGTTTCTCTGCTTTGACTTATAGTCTACTTGCATCAATATTGAATTTTCTGTTTTTCTGTTTATGGAACTCAAGGAAGGGGCTTTCACTAATGCCGTGGAGGAATGCAAGACTTTTTTGGATACAGATGATGGAGAACTCTTAAGTACATGGCTGCTAAGCGAGTAAGTCATTGCTATTTTTTTTTCAGGCTTATTATATGATTGTAAATCTTGACATTACTTATTGCTTATTTGTGGTAAATTATGACTGTTGCATAGTTGCAGTCAATACATTTTTGCTTTAGAAAAGGTGATGAATTATTTTAGGTGCATTTTACATTACTAGCCATTTTCTAGCTCTACAAGTATAATGTTGTTTGTGTATTTTTTCTCTTCTTTTGGCTGTTTTTTTTTTTTGTTTTTTTTCAACAAATTAGTTAGCAGTAAACAAAAAGCTATAATTGCTCTCTGTGTACTTTCAGAAAAACATACTCCTGCTCACGCTCATGAAAGTTCATGTAGGAATTCCATTCCAAGATACCAAATTTTAAATTTTCCTGGGAGTGCATACCCCTATAGACCTCCTCCTACATGTGCAGAAGTTGTATCTTTATAACAGTTTATTCAATTTCCACTTACCCCTGATTCTGTGCTTCCCACTCTGATTCTTGTTAAAAACCCTGGCGATTTTATGTGTTATCTCAGTCCAGTTGAGGGTTATTGACCATTGAATTCTTTAAGTGAGGGAATAGCATTTGGCTCAAAGTTATCTTAGCTTGAGGGCTGCTGATTAGTCAGACTGCATGTACATTATTACATTGTTTGTAAGGAAGCTCATTTGGTGTCGGGGTTTTCATCCTGAGCTCATAGGGGGCAGAAATTCTCAAGCTGTCAGACCATTATGTACCTTGTGTTCAAGAACAGATAAAAAAGTTTTTTTTTGAAGGTTATTTCCTACCTTTGCGGGTGTGCTGCGGGAAAAAATTCATACACGCGCTAGTTTGAAGAAAATCCTAACAAACTATACATCAAAACAAAGCTTAATAAATGCAGTTTACGATAAAAATATAATTTAGTTGATTTTTTCATTTAGGAAGTGTCAGGAGCTGGTAAGGCATGAAACGACCCAGGGTCCTTCTGTTGAATTTATCGGGTATCAGATCCCGTGGCGCGAGAAAAATGGCTGCACAGTGTATTCACAAGGCATCAGTCAACAAAAGTGTGTCAGGCTTTTCCGATATTCTGATTGGTTGTCTAGATATTTGCATCTAAAGTTAGAGTACTTAGCGAAAAATATGTGGAGTGTGTTGCGTAAAGGGACACCACGCGAAAAATATTTCAAATATCAAAATTCCCAGACAGTTTTGTTTGTCATTATCCTTGGAATGTTTTGGCGAAATTTCACAAAAATCGGTCAAATCTCCATACCCTATAAATTTGCTCAAAGTGGATGTACTCCTCTCAAAATCAAATGGGAGATTTTAGCTCCTAAAGGTTTGTAAACAACTAGCGCCACACCAGGAGATTATCTTGCCTCCTGAAACCATACACCAATAAGAAGACAAGACTTCCTAGTGTCAATGACAATGGATCAAGATTTTCCCGGGAAAAGTATCGCGTAGCATTCACGTTTTTTATCTTGCTCTGTTAATCATTTAGTAATGGACAAAGTTGGCAAAGGAAAAACCAGTAGCAGAAAGGGTAAATCTGTCGCATTATTCTTTTTCTCCATCGGTTTCGTCAGATTCGGATGAAGAATCTTGTTTACAACCTTCTGTGGTGTTGACTTTAATTGTTAAGCTGCTTGCTCCAAGTATAATCAAATGCTGCTGATCTTCAGCGGATGCTGATCTTCAGCAGATGCCGAGCTTGTCGAAGGCTCCTGGCCAAACCAAGAGCCTTTGTCGCTTTCAGCAAGGACTTATGCTGCCATTTCTCTCTTCTTTGGGCCTGTTTTTTTTCTTTTTCTTTACCCAAGGAAAAGAAAAGACTTTCCATGAGCACATAACTTCCATAACTTCCATGAGCACATAACTTGTGTGGATTTTGTCAAGTGCGCAATGTAAACAAAATATGCAAGCAACATGAAATTGCCGTAAATATTCCCCTGCGGGGTTCGCCCATTTACAAGATTATAACACCTTCCTGATTTATTAACTTTTATTTGAAAATACGTTTTTCTAAATAAGTCGAACACTCAGAGATTTAAACTTTTTTTTTTAAACATTAGTTAAAATGTCAAACTTCAATCTAGTCCAAAAAAAAAAAATGATTTTTTCGGCCTCTGAAGGTAGGAAGTAACCTTAACTGAATCTTATATTAACATCAGAATTATAATGCTGGAAATCACATCTTGGATAGTTTCTCATTTCCAATTTTTTTCAGTGGAGCATGCCCTAAAAGGGCATGTTGCTTTGAAAAACAACACTCTCGCTATGCAAGTGTCATTCAATTCCACTGCCTACTCAGTTCAGATCATACACATATTAGATTTTCATTTGAAAACCCTGGGTTGAGTGGCCATAGTTAAAAGAAATGAGTTATTTAAGCAGGTGGTAAGAACTGGTAAATAATGAGATTGGGTGATGATTTAAGTTCCCTTCTTATTTGGTGCCCTGGGCCGGGTTGTTCAAAGCTAGATTAGGATAACCAAGGGTTAGTGGGATATTTAATTTTAGTTCTGAAAGCTTTACATGAAAATTCAGTATAATTCTTTCTGTTTACAATTTGATGACTTGATGCTCTAAAAAGAGTAGAGGAAATCATCCTAAAAAGATTCTTGAATGGAGAAATATAGAAACCTGGATTGAAATTTAACCTTGGGTTAGCACTAATCGGCCTTCGAACAACTGGGCCCTGGACTTTTGAAATGAATATCACAAAGTGAAGGGAAGCTAAACCAATTTCAAGTTGGTGTAATAAAATTTAGTGGTTTTGCAAGGTGTGATAATGTTGGTGTCTTTGCAGTAAATGGTTTGAACCCAGGGGTAACATGTGAAGGTGTAGTACTGACAACAATTTTACTGACAACAATCATTCACTTGACTCTGATGATGACTTCCGCACAGGTTGTCGAAACGTTAGTCACTACCACCGACAACAGTCCTTCTCAGGACTACACTCACCCGGACGATCAGACTACATCTTCAAATGTTGGTGTCTTTATTTATAGAATAGATCATTGGGACCATGAGAAAGAAAGAATTGTCTTGATCACAAAGAAAAGCCTTTGCCTTGTCAAGTACAATTTCATTGGACTGAAAGTTGACGAGATAAGGAAGATTCCACTGATAAGATGTGACAAGATTCAGATTGGCAGATTTGTGTATCCAAAGACCACAATGATGATGTGAGTACAACTCATTTGTTTACATACAAAGATCATGTAACTGTGCAAACTGCAATTCTACTTGACCATTCATATGAATTTCTGTTTCATGAATATTGTTCAATCCTTTTGCTCTCAAGATGTAGTTCTGAACTCTTTACACTGTCTTCCATGTATGTCGTAAAGTTTTTATCATGACAATTTTGTTTTTAATTATAAAAATATCCTACAGTTGATACTTTTGTTTGGGCATCACCCTCTTGAAAATAATTGTGCTTATAAAAGAAGGTACAGGTATGCAAATGACACTTGACTGGAATAGGTTGCAGACTTATCCTGGTTTCTGTAGTACATTGTTGGTATCCATTTATTCTCCTGAGGGGGAGAGGGATGCCAAATAAGCAATGGGCCACTGCTAGGGTTGAGCTTCTCTTAGTGCAGTTGACTCCTGAGAACTGAAACCTTTCTAAAAGACTTCAAGAGGATCGAGGTAGGGGAAGTCAGAGCCATTGGCTAAAGGCAGTAAGGGGAAAGGGTGTTTACTCAATGTCTATTCACGTGTTTATAAACTGAATTATATTGTAAATGAAGGGGTTGAGGAGTAAAGCTGGTAAAACACAGGTCATTTTAGTCTGGTTTACCCTCAGCCAATGGAACATGAGCGGGCACAAAGAAGGCAAAAAAACTATTGACAGTTTTAGAGTGGATTTAATGTTTTGAACTACAGTAGAACTCTTGTTGACTTGTCACATATGGTAAAATTTACTGGAAGGGAAAGAGGAATCTCTTTCAGAAATAGGAAAGTTCGAGCTACTGACAGTACAATTTTTCACAATAATTGTTGAATAGAGATCTGATGAGGTATCTTTTGATTCAAATTAGAGCAAGGTACGATGTGTCGCTTGTAGCAAGGGTTTGGGTGATCGCAAGTTGAGTTATTACGACCTGTTACAGCGCTTCTTTTTACAAAGAAAATAGCGAACTAATGTGTGTGTTCAAGCCCTCTCTCCTCCCGAAAAGCTGACGGTCAAAATGAGAATTTAACGCTCAAGCTTAGTGTCAATATCCCCCCGTATATTTTCAGTCCACGTCACTTCCAAACTGGTTTACGCGTCTACTTTGGCAAAAACACAATACCCAGCTTTCTCCAGAACTGGAATCCATGGTCACACGAGATACCCTTTGTCACTTTCTGCTGGCACAAAGGGAATGATGTCATGGGTGATCTCCCCCAGCATATGCGGCTGGACCCGTTCCAGGAGTCTCTTATCCAGGCCATCACCGATTCGCACAATACTCTTCAGGAGGGTGTGGCACAAGACTCTCTTGAGATTGTGCATAATGAACCTATCATGATTGAAGTGTATTGTGGGATTTCACCGATATTTCACAACTACGGCATCCTTGGTTTTAATCGTGATCGCGGAAAGTTTGGATTTTAGGACACCTCGACTCCGATAATAGTGAATAGTATTGGTTATTATAAGTAGATCATTTGGTGGAACCGTGGAATTGCTCTCACATGCTACAAATGCTATATAGAAGACTGGTTAAAGCTTGGTTTTGTCAGAGTTTAATTTCTTTCCTCTATATTTTAAGATACCGTGATAATATAGAGGTAATCTACATAGCGCAAGCGCAATAGATTCAGTTAAGCTTCCTCTTCAGGCCAATCGGGCTGGTTTGGTATCTGAGTTGCTTCGATGGGTTCATACGATTAGACGGGCTGTCTGGATGACCAAAATCTCGGACATGGGCTTGGCAATCCCAATAGGAACAACCCAGTCAGGTCGCCTGTTCTCCCTCTCGACCATTTTGCTGTCTTTTCCCATATAAATAGGGAGAAAATATGTTCCGTTTGTCTGGCTAGCTCGCTTTACCGGGCTCATTCGAAGTGGCGCTGAAAAGGAAATTGCCAACGTTTTTTACGGACTGTAGGCATAGGCTATGTCTTATTGCATGAAGGACAAGCAGCTCCAATCAGCGCGAAGGAGTTGGATAGTTTTCGTGAAATATGTATTGATAACCTAACTCGAGCTTTCTAGAACTTGCTTGTAACACTAACGCCCGATTTGTTACCGTAAATATTCGCAAAGCGAAGGTTGGCTAAACGAAAATTTGCATATACTAAATATTAATTAATTAACCACTAAAGATGTTTGATAGTGGTATAATTTTAAACTTGTATGAATAGAAAGTGATTTTCGCGAGTTGTAAATATGGTTGCTATTTAGCCCTATTAAGACAAAAATATTCTTGCTAAGTAATATTTCCAGGACCGGTTTTAACTGAAATTGTTAAATAAACCACATAACATCGATAACGTCTTACCTTAACTGGCTGGTTTGATTCTGTTTCTCTAAACGTGACATGGGTTCCAATCTGGAAGTTTTCAGCACGGTCCATTGTTCCTCGGCACTGCGCCCGCGTTTAAGAATTTTATGTCATACACTGCACCTTTTTTGCCACAATTTATTGGCGCTTTTCTTGTCTTTCTGGGATTATTGTGCGTACTCCCTAGCAGAGAAACGCAGAAACTTTACACAGGGAATTGAAAGGCCGGTAAAGTTCGAGAACTGATATTGTTAATCGGTAGTTCTTAATTGGGGAGATAAGGTCCAACTTTGTGAGGCAATCAAAGCATTGCCGGGTATTCACTCGCAAATCTTCTTCCCTTCATAGGATCACTGGTTATGCGGAAAACAGCCCTCGCAACAAACAGTCGGGTATGCGAATTTTCTTTTCTAGTGTGGAACCCAGCTTCTTCCAGATGTGGAACCCATGGTCCGACATGCCGTACTTCACTTTGACGAGTCACGTGCAAAGCATGCTCCAGGACTCGCCCCCAGATCGTTCGCAGCATGACCCGTTCAGCAAAGCTCTCATTAAAGCCATTACCGAGGCTAGAGAAGCCGATCCCCACCAAGAAAGACTCGGCAGTTTTGAAGTTGTTGAGGGAGACCTGCAGATTAACATTTATTTGGGCCTTAGCGCTATGGTTTATAATCAGAGCAGTCTGGGATTTTGCAAAGACCGTGGCAGTGTGTTCTTCTAACCGTTGTACTGCTTGGTATTAAGAAACGAATTCTCCTTTCTTGTGACTTTTACTGTTTATTGTTCTCTTTGGGAGAACTTTCAGTTTGCCTTAGATTAGTGGCTGTCTTTCTAAAGCTCTGGCGGAACCGATGTTGAATATTTTATGCAAATTTTAAAACAAAACTGGTATTAATCTGGTCCGATAGTTTTGTGAGGAAAGCATTTAGGTGTGCCAATAGGTTTTCAGTAACGATGAAGTCAGAAAGAGATATCAATCTTTTTGCGGGGTGCAAACATAAATGCATACATAACTAAGTAAACGAATTAATAAAATATCGAAAGATGCCTTAGGCGAGGAACAAATTTGAGAAAACTATATTTCCTTAAGATCATCAACGACGAAATGATAAGCGAAGAAGGTGCCTGATTTTTGCTGAATACACCAACGGGATCATGACAGGGTGGACTTTTCACGTCCGTTTGAGGATTTGTCTATTTTACGTTGAAATTATCTTGCGAAAGCACATGTTGTTAAATCTTTAATAAAGGTGTGAAATAGTATGCGATGAGGTAGAGAGCATTGATTAACGGAGTAACAAATACAAGTTATATGATTGTCTTATCTCTTTTGACTATTTTATTTTATTTTTTTGTTGTTGTTGTTGTAGTTGTTGTTGCCGCTGTCGTCTAAGTTATTGTTGTCCTTTGGGGAAAAATAGAAGACAGTTGTCTCAGTTAGGTTAGTTGTACATTAGCATAACATGTACAAATGAAAAAAAAAAAAAAGCAGAAACGAAATCCCTTTTCCAAAGTTGCATCGGGCAATATCTAAATTAAGCAACAATCGTTAGATTTTTCTTGTATTTAACGGTGCAACTCAGTATTGCTGACAAGAGAAATTTCATTACAGCGACAGTTAATTTAAGTACTTCGGTATATCAATTTCGCTAAATGAAAATAGCACTAAAATGTTGCCATTTTTTTAACAATTCTGTTTGCTGTTTTTCCATACATTTTTGTCTTTTAAGACGGAGGAGGAGGGGGTGTCGGGGATCTTGGATCACCCTTTGGCCCTTAGTAAACCACCCCGCCTTCTCCTCGAGAACTTGCTACGTAGACCCTGTGTCAAAGCAATTCATTCGCAAACCGTTGTGTACTAGGCTGATCATATTAATCCACGACTTGCGATATCAAAAAGTCTCTAGCAAGGTAGAAGGATGTTTTTTGTCTTGTCACGAGCATGGGACTAAGATAAAAATTAATTCTGAGGCGAAATATGATCCTACAGTTTTAATCTGTGTTATTTTTCAATTAGTTATCTCCCTGATATTATTGTGTCTGCTCGCTAGCAACGACCACGAACTTATTCAACAAAGGCAAAGTAGATATTGTCGAATAATCCCAAACACAACATTTACCACCATCAAAGAGGAACTAATGGATTCGTGTAGTTTCCGGGATGAGTAACGCACCAACTGCATCTTGCGTCATTACTTAATGATGCTTTATTTTGAGGAAGATCAAGAAATCGTTTGGTGGCCATTTTTCCTTTGCTTGTTTGTTTGCTGTTGTTTTTGAAAGAAAAGGCTTCAGTACTACAATCACCTTGCGGTGGGTAATAAAGAAAGATATATTACGGTGATTGACCAGTCAGAACACATCCATCGCTATAATCACCTTAACAAGATACTTCCAAAAATTGTCAAACCATTTTTGGAAGCTGTGCCTGAGAGAAACTCCGTTCCAATTTTCAGTTTGGTTTGCACTGATAAATAGAAACAGGTGATGTGTTTTGACAGAATCTTACAAGAGACTGTCGTGTACTCGGCAGCAATACTTTTTTTCTTTGTGAAGGATGAAGTCTTTGACTCATTGAAAGGGTTTGACAGAATCTTACAAGAGACTGTCGTTTACTCGGCAGCAATACTTTTTTTCTTTGTGAAGGATGAAGTCTTTGACTCATTGAAATGGTTAACATGACACTACATTGTCATGGAGAGCGTCATGAAACTACGATTTATCGTCGTATTCTTTTCAGGTTTTTACAAAGTGATCTCCTCAATCGTGGTGGAATCACGGTGGTGTCTTGTCCTAGTGGCGGAGCTTACGACAAAGGCTACATTACTTGACTGAATGAGGGGCATCACGGTATTCCTGTTCCTGTATCGCCGCCATAGTTTTAACAGGCTTTCGCGAAATGTTTTGTATGCGAAAAAATAAATTATTGGGTTATAGATGTTAGATGTCTTGGCAAACATGGCTGGGAAAGCAGCAGTGATGAGCGAAAAGTCGGTCGAAAGGAAGGCTGCGTAAAAAGAAACAGCTGCGTACGGAGTCCATGCGACGAAGAATCCAATGAACATCAGCAAGCCAATCTTGGCCATTTTCCACGCTGCTTTGATGGTTTCCAAGGTAGCAGCTGCGTTATTTCCCCAGATTTTTCGTGCGTTTTTCGTCATGTAGCGAACGTTGACGAACATGAGGGTGTAGGAGATCACGATAACTGAAAGTGGAATGATGTAGAAAAAGGCAAAAAGGCAGATGACGAAAAACGTATCGCCTTGTTGCGCCGATTGCCATCGTAAGGAGCAAGCTATTCTTCCGGCCTCAGGGACGTACGCAGACCAGCCAAACAAAGGAAAAAGACTCCACATTAGGGCAAAACCCCATATTGACAGAACCACTGTTACCATGCGACCCATGCTGTGTTGTGATTCCAGTGGCCGAGAGAGTACGAAATATCGATCCAGTGCATACGCGGCATGATGCAACATGGTTCCAAGGCCTAAGAAAGTGGACACGAAAGCATAAAATGTGCAGGTACTGTCAGTGAACCACGCAGACTCTGACGCATTTGCGGCTGCTCCCAGGGGATTTATCATAACTCCCATCAGCCAATCAGAGGTGGCTATGCTCATGATGAGAACGTTGGCTGGCAAAACGAGGGAACGGTCCATGATAAACGTCAAGAGGACCACGGAATTGAAGAAGGTTGCAGCAATGGCCAACACGATGTAAACAAAGGCTAGGGCGTAATAAGTGCCTGGACTGAGTAGTTCTTCTGTCATATTCGAATGCTCAGCTGTGGCGATACGTAACGTTTCTTGCCACCTTAGCGTATCTGTCCTTCAATTCTAAAAGAGGAAAAACGACAAGAATCGTTTCGCGTACGTTTCTATTTAAAGTGTAGGATGGAAAGGTTAAAGAGCATAACTTAGTGGCTCTCTCAAGTGTTTATTTCTGTTTACTGAGTCTATCAGGTATATAATAAACCCCCTGAAGCGGTAATTGAAATAGCACGTACGCTAAAATTCCAAAAAATGCTAGTATTTTCCTTCAAGCACATTTCTGAAACATATTATTATTGTTACCATGAAATTACCATAGCTGACCAAAAAGTGTTGTTTTTCAAACTAAAACATGACTAATTAAAGCATACCCGATTAAAAATAAATCATTTTTATTCCATGTTTTTTATCTTGAATATTAGAATCAGCTTTTAACTTTTCCATTCTTTCTTACAGTAATTTTTAGTCATGTTAATCCTTATATAGTGACATTTGCAGTTGTACATGTTAGCTTTTTTTATGAGAAACCAAGTTGTCCTTAGATAATATACTTTTAATTCTGCATGTTTAAGGCTATCTTATGTTAGCACGTACGTATTTTGAAAGAGCTTTCTAGCTCACTTGACGCTAGGTGGGTAAATGAAAGATGATTGATTGACATGCCCTCTCGTTCTCAGTTGTGGCTTTAGATCTATATTCCTTCTCACAAAGTTTACATTATAAAGGGGTTTACGACTTCTAACCAAATATTTCGTAGCTTTTTGCTATAGAGTTCCAAACTTTTTCACCTGGGTTTTATAAATTGACGCACAAACTTAAATTAGTTTGAACTAAGTCACGATTCAAGTGCGTGACTTCAAATTGAACATGTTTAATCGATTTAGTTAGTCAGTCAGTCTGTAGACATCAGCCAAGGCACCATGTATAACATAAGATCTATTGACAAAAGGAATTAACGGCGGAATCTTTATGGGTTATCGTGAGTAACGGTGCAACTTCCACCTTTCGATGGAAACTTTGCCAGTCACAATAATATCACATTTCTAGTAAGAATCTAAGGCAAAACCCTTACCCTTCAAAGCGGCCGAATCAGAACAATGTTATAGATCCGTAGATGTCGTTCCTGCCTTGCAAATGCCGAAAAATAATGATTTTCCTTGTAAGAAAAGCACAGTGCATTAACAGACAACAATCTTTTCAGTTGACGAGCAAAGTAAAGTCAATAAGTTGGATAGATCTCACAAGGTGATGTTTTGCAGAGGTTAAACGACAGGAGACTAATTTTCCTTCACGTCAAATAAGAAAAGCTAATAAAAGTGTTAGCCAAAAAGCCGCCGGCATTGATGGGCAAATTGAAGCTCGTAGTGAATATTTTGCTACTTCGTCACTTAGCCAACCTGAAATCATTTCCTGAATGTCTCTCTCGTCCAATGTTTTTTCGTTATTTTACGTTTTTCCCATAAATTCAATCATCAAGTTCTAAGTGTAGAGAAAATAAGGGGACTGAAATAGAAGCCCATGGGAAACCACAGGGCTTTTACATGATGGGCTCCCTCGAAGAAATATAATCGCAGTTTAGGTAGAATTATAGCAACGAGTCAATGGCAAAGTAGAATTGACTTGAGCTATAACGTTATTTCAACTTATTTGTATGTGTAAAGCACAGTTAGTCTAAAAATGAGAAAAATAGAGAGAAGAAATAGTTATGTATTGATATATAATTATCCGAGTTATCCTAAGTTTATGTTGGTTTATTTTGATGAAAATGAAAGGATTGCGGGCTAATTTCTTCTCCCAAGAAACAAACAAATGAAATGTCAAACGATGTTTATGAGTAAACATTGGTATGCAAAGGCATTGATATGCAAAGAAATTGATTAGCAAAACTTAAACTTAACGAAAACCTTCTATTTTTTTTTTTTTTTTGTTATCGTTAGATTGTATGTAAATGACTTTCTTGTCTTCGAAATGTGACAGGTTGAGCTACAGCCGAAAAGACAACTGACTCCGAATCTGCGCCAATTGATGTAATATGGTGGTTGAAGCTTTCATTTAACCACAAGAAACGATGCTTTCTTGGATTCTAACCCATCACATTGTAACTTGGTACACACATGATATGAAGTTATTTATGTTAAACATTCAATTTAAACAATGTTTTAAAATGCCTTTTGCAAACTATTTCCTTTAAAAATAGACGCACTTCTCGGTTTTGTATGGCGCTCGAAATGTTTAACTCAAGGCACAATCACCATTCCTTTTTCACACTTCACTCACGTGAAATTTCATCTGCACGTGAAATTTCTCATCTAACGCGGGGTATATACTGAAAATATGTCATCCCACAAGAAGAGTATTTTCACTTTCTTTTCAACTTGGACTCACGCATGCAATTAGTGCCCAAAAATAAACGAACAAACCCGAAGCGCCGGAGTGATAATTAACGATTATTCAGGGAAGTAGAGGTGACCTTTAGTATGTAAACGATTCCAAACTAACCAATCAGCGCGTGTAAAAACACTCTTCAACTGTGTAGTAAACACTAATGGAAGCTAATGGAAGTTTTAGTAAGCAACATTCTTGTTGTGGAGGAGCAATTATAGCCCATTTGCCAGTTGAAATCTCAAAGTAAATCCTTGAGAAAGGAAAATATCTTTTAATAGCTTGATGATTGGGCTTCCTTCAGTAAAACCACGAAGTAGTGGTACGGAAGTGATCATTTTTATCCTTCCGACAATATAATAAGGTGTGCGAATCTGGATGACCTGACAAGGGTTCAAAATAACATTTGGCAGCTGAACAGCTAATAGCAAATGTTATATTCTTCTAGAAAAAATGGTATGAAATAAGGCAGGATATGTACAAATATATATTGGAATGAATATATTTGAAATTTAAAGCCTGATTCCTGATTTTGATGTTGCCAGTTTATTAAGGACCTAAGCAAACCAAGACTACGAGGGCAACGATACTCTGTTGAAACACGGGATGTAAATGGTAGAATGAGGGCCCTTAACGTGTGTTTTAAATCTTGTTAAATCTCCAAACAGTCTTTTGCAAAAAAAAAAAAAAAAACTGAAATCGTCCAAATTTTCCTGGTTTGAGAACAGGAACCGACGAAGGCAAATCCTTTATTTGTGCACTCCGAAATGGATGATATTTTAACGTCACAATGAAAAGAAAGTCTGGCGCCATTAATAAACAGCGAGTCACTTAACATATTTTTGAAAAACAAAATTGTAGAAATTCCTTTTCCTATAAAAAAGGCTAAAGTGTAAAGTCCATCAACAAGGATGTGAATGATGTACCACTTAAAATACATTTAGCCTAAGACTGACCAATCAGAATGTCTGCCATACAGCCTAAGACTGACCAATCAGAATGTCTGCCATATAGCCTAAGACTGACCAATCAGAATGTCTGCCATACAGCCTAAGACTGACCAATCAGAATGTCTGCCATATAGCCTAAGACTGACCAATCAGACTTTCTGCCACACAGCCTGGGATTGACCAACCAGACTGCATATGGTCATAAAAGATGAAATTTCAATACTGCCACAGTGTTCATCAAGATCATAGTTCCCATTCTTCAAAAACCAACACCAGGAGAGATCTATTTTCAGCTATGAGTTAAAACGATGTCAAGATGACCAAACGCTTTCTTAAAATGAATGAAAGTCACGGAAATTTGAAACGAAGGAAAATTGGAAACGTCTATCTGTATTGCCAAATATCTCGAAATTGATACTTAAAGCGTTTGTATGTCATTTAACATTCGATGACTTTTCAAGATAAATTTTACATGAGCATCTGCGATTTTTCTTGATGGTGGAATCAAATGTTTATAGTCTTCCTACACCTACATTAAAAATATTGCTGCCGCGTCAAAAAATAAAAAATTCAAATTGTAACCTTTCCTTAATCTTTTTAGATAAGGAAATCAAACATATCCTTCTCAATCTTAGCCGCGGCATGCGGAGATTTGGAAGAAGATTAACGTTACTGCTTGTCTTGGGCAGAATTTCAAAAAGCGCTCTCGTGGAAGGGATTGTAATTTACTCCTTAAACATTTAAAATCATAATGATTTAAAAGCATCAAAGAGGAAAATATCCTACCAAAGAAATCCCGTCAAAATTCACAAGCTGTGTTGAGAGCCACCAGTGCCTTTAACTCCCGCTAAGAATAATTGCAACACCTTTTTATGACAAACGCTGGGGAAAAAAATTACAATCGAAATGCATCTTGCTAAAATTCTGTAATATATTTTCTTTAAATGAAAGACTCATCAGTCGGATTCAAAGGATAACAGCAATTGTTTTTTAGATGAAAACATTACAGCGATTTGCTATTTGGTGCACAGATGAAAATACTCGATCATTGTTAATATAGCCTATTTAGAAAACCTCATTGAACACGGCTTTCTGTTTCTAGAATTTTTATGTATATTTCGATGGAAAATTGCATTATCGAAAGAAGCTTAATGGGAGTGTAATGGCATTGCAGTTTAATCATATCAAAGCGAGCTTTACCGCCCATTTTTCTGTCAATACTCGTCAGGAAACGCTTGACTTTGGACGAGAGCTTGGAAAGCGCTAGAAAACTTTGGTCATTTCGACGTGGTATTGAAAATCTCTTTGAAAAAAACACTTAGAAAATATCATTCTAGTAGGCCCTCGGGAGAACTGGGCGCGAAATGAATATTTAACCTTTTAAGCTTCCATTAAAGCTCCTTAAAGTAACAATTTAGAGGCTTGAATGCTCTCCTTAGTACGATGCAATTTGAATGTTCCTTACATGCTAATGTTGTGATCAATAGATCGCAAAGAAAACGCAAATGCTCGCCAGCATTATTTGCGGTTTTCGAGGCTGGATTGGTTCAAATAACGAAAATTTCAAATGGAGGATTTCAGACCCTTGATAAAAGGAATTTTTTATTTCCTCTTTTCATGGTATGATGATAAAACATGTTTCACCATTCAAGGAATTTAATAGTTACTATAACTAGATCATCTCAGTCCAAAGTTTCTCACAATCTACATTCGAAATCTCCCTGGCAAGTACCTGATACGTCACCCTTCGAGTGCTACAAATAGCCAGTGTCTACTTCCTTTCCTTTGGTGAAGGCAAAGTAAAATGGCTAGTTATTTATTTATCTAGACATCTCTTAACGAACATATCCTCTTAAGAATCTACTAGGTTGTCCTCTAGAACTAAACAATGTGCTTGGTACATTCGGAATATTGTGTGGCAGTTTGCAGCACATTCAAATAAGTAAATTATTGACTCCAAAAGAATGAATTCAAACGTCAAATTACATGCCAAAGGACAATGATAGCAATAGCGGCCATAAAAAGAAAGAAAATTAATAAAAAAAAAAGTAAGTAGCGCTGCACACAGAGTTGCGTGCTGTCAGAAAGTAAGCTAGCTGGTTTTCCCTCAGCCTTTTCTTTTAAAGTTCAGTTAAGCTTAATATCTAGGGTTAGTAACACCTATTCCCGTAGAGATGAAGATGTAAATTAGCAATAGCTAGACTTTCTTCTACCCTGTTACTCTACGTACAGTTACTTAAATTCAAAAAATATATAGCAGTATGTAATTGGATGTAAAAGTTCACCTAGGCTAAGACAATCGCTCAAAACCTTAACTTGGCCGCTACCTAGACCAAGGGGAATTAGTTTTGTCAGTTGTTGACGGTTTCTTCCTTTTTTTCAAAAAAAAAAAAAAGAGAAAGAAAAAAACCGTGGACGATTTGACAAATAATTCTTACCTAAAAAAACTTTGTTTCGTTTATGAGGTCACCCCACAGCCATACGTGGAATACAAACTGTGGTTGTCGACAAAATTTTAAAGTTGCTTGAATGCCTTGAAGGCGTCGGCAAAATAAACACACAACCTTTAATCTTTATTCTCTTCCTGCTCATGAGAATAATAATTACAGCTTTTTTGTTCAAGCAATGGAATATACCTTTTAAAACAAACACAGCTGCTTGTATTGAAAAAGTAAAAGAAATGCGAGAAGCATTCCCCTGGCATATCCGAGAAAGAAATAAAATGAAATCATCTCTTTGTTACTCTTCGCTAATGGGGCCTGCAATAAAGCACTTTTACAGCTCTATGCTATTGGCATTTCTTATTTCAGAAGCTTTAACCTCGCCTACTACCAATAGACATACATCACATTTTGAAATTTCAGTCAATAACTTATATAAACATGACAAACTAAGCTTTACCGACTCTAAAAAAATTTTACATTTTTTCTTGTGTTACCTTTCACCTGACGTTTTATTTCAGATACTATATCTGGCAATCTTTTAGTAATATTCGTAGTTTAGGTAAGTTAACGTTAAAGGCTTTTTTTGGAATGAGTGCTCTCTTCAATTTTTTGAAGTTTCTATTGGCTTAGTATTTTATTAATTTGTAATTTTAAAATTTAGCACGGGTGAAATACCATAGAAAATGGTTTATAAAACTAGACAGCGGAGATTTAACAAAATTATTGAACGCAAAAATTTCGCAAGAAAGTTCATCATTGGACAGTTTTTGAAGGTGACCATGTCAGAAATTGACTTAATGTTGCAAGGATGAATCGGTGACATGAAATGGAGGTGACACTTTAAATATTTATTTACCTGTAAATGCAATTTTATGCCAAAAAAAGACTTAAGTGTAAAGTGGACTTGAAAAGCTTACGTCACTGTTGAAAGTCCTGAAAGAACAGATTGAATATTTTATTTCCGTCTATGAGGTCTGCTGAGAATTGTTGCATCTGAAACAATTCCCACTAAGACTTTTAAACATGTTCCATGGTTCATAAAATCTTTAAGTTTATGGCATAAAATTTAATTTAACCTTCTTAAGAATGAATTCAGTTTGCGTTAGAATATCAATCATTAAACTGCCTTGTGGCAGGAAAATTTTGCGAGAGTTTTGGCTCATTGAGTGTCATTGCGAGAACAATTTTCCAGCAGTTCCAAAAGTTTCCAGTGAAATAACGTTGGCTATTTTTTTTGCTCAAGCAACTGTACATTAGAAAGGAATTTAATCAAGAGTTTTCATTTTTTAATTTGTTGTTCAGACATCCTCTGGATATAGTTGAAACATTTCACTGAATTATTAAAACTTTGGAAGATAATACTAACTCGTTAAATGCATTAATTCAACAACAAAATGAAATAGAAAGCTGACCCATATCCCCCGCTTACTCCGCAGGTATTTTGAATGAAAGAAAGATGGTAAAATTTTGCGGCGTCCACTTTGAAGGATTTTTATTCTACGAGATCAAGGAATCAGCGAGATCTGCAGCAAACTAATACCTGCATAATTTTAATCTTACACGGTCTGCATTCTGGTCAAGCGAAACTAGTTTTGCCACTCGACTGAAATTCAGATTCAAATTCTGATGTAAATGGATTCTTTTCCCAGGTTTTAAAATTAATGATCGGCAATATCAACACCTCATCAGAGTAAGGAAGTTAAAACTTGAAGAATAATTTGCGTTAACAGTTTGTTTAAATGACGTTTCAAGAGGTAATCCTTAGAGACTTTAACGGACCAATTATAAGGTAGTTACTGGCTATTCCTCCAAGCTAACGAAAAACTATTTGTACTGATAAATGGACAGTCATGGTTAAGGAGGAATGAATTGAACTACGAACGGAGTTACAAAAATATCTCGCTGTACATCGAGAACAAATACCAAGAGGGTTAAATCCAATCTATTTTCTCTCTATCTCTCTGTCTTTTTCACTTTGCGTTAAAAATTCCTTAAAATAACAAAAATGTTTTCTGAACACGAACAAGATACATGCAAAGCACCCTTCCGTAATTAGTGGTTTGGAAATGGTCTTAGTCAAGTGAAAACACTGAAAATTTTATTGCCATTTCCGCAATTTTGAATAAAAATAACTTTTTAGAGCAGCGTTTGCAGTTCTCAGTAATAATGATAATTTACTAACATTTTCAAAACACATCAAGTAGCATATGGAAAAACTGCACTGCCTGAAAAAAGCCGGCAAAACCCTTAACAATTATCAAATATTCAGCTAGATCAAGTTTCCTTGTCTTCATATTTGACATTTCCTAAATTGAATATTTAATTGCATGATGACAATGTTTTTTCCCTCCTAATCTAAGCGGGGCTCTGAGATAAAATGGAGAGGGAATTTAGTTCTTGCTAGGGCCAATAATATAAGCGTTTGGTACCAACGTCGTCAAAGACTAAAAAGGGATAACTGTATAGCGATATGGGCAGTGAGTAGTCTGCCTAAGGATGTGACCTATTAATTTATGAAACCATTAAATGAGGAAAAAAATGAGAACGTGAATGAATTGTTAAATTATTCAGGTGAAATTTTAAATGTTTCAAAAACTAAGAAATAAAGGGTTTTTTTTTTCGCTTTTATGATTATAAAAAAAGCCAAGATCCGCTATCGAGCGTTTTCTCAAAAACTTGCAGTTAAGTTCTGAGGCGAAAGTGTTGAAGTAAAAACTCTCTCTCGGCTATTAACTTATCTGAGGTAGAATTGAAAATAAATAAATAAATTACCATTGTAGGAATTCTCTTTACTATCGTTTCGATAGTCAAATCGATTATACATAAAAAAAATTTTCGCCTATTCAACGACAGTTTGGCTTGATGGAGAAACCGTCTTCTGATGAGATTCTTTTGTTAAGTTTTCTCGGCTTATTGTATGTTTTGACAATTCATCAGTGTACCAAATCACTAGAAAAAGTAACTGTAATTGAAGATTCCTGGCCTCATCAAGAGATTTCACCTGACAAAGTTAGCTCAAGTAGAATTCTCACTTAGGTTGCATACAGATTGTTCAAAAAAAGATGGGATAATTTCGAATCAAAATTAACGACAGGACAACAAAATGAGATTATTTCTTCATTTTACATCCAAAATATAATTTCAATCTTGGGTTATTGTAGCCCCATTCATCGTAGTTTCCCTTTAACACATTAGGCGAACGAAGATAGAGATTAAGTAGAGGATACATAACGAAGTGAAGAGCGATAATAAACATTTGAGGTTTAACTGAACCAAAATTGAACTAAGATTTGAAGAGTACATCGAGATTACACTTAACCTGGCAATATCTCTTGTGAATTAAACAGACAAACTAAGTGGGTTTTGACGGTTGAATCCTGTTAGACACCCGACACATAAAAGGGAATACTTATATTTAAATGTGCATTACTGCTCCTTGAATTACTTACTTTTCTGGCGACCTACTCTCGGTTTCTTAGCAGATGATATCAACTGTGCTGGTTTGTTATTTATCCACAGAGAAAAATTTTTAGATGGCTATATATAAGTATGCTTTCTTAACTCTGTGAAATTTTACTGAAAACGTGCTGGTCTAAATAAGATTTTGAAACATTAAGCCATCGAGAGATACAGAATCAATTTTTAATATGCTTTATTCCCGTTTATGATTTTATATTTCATTTAATGTCGAATGCTTCTTTTCCACCAATCAGCTCAATTGTAGTTATGTTAATTCCAATCGACTTTTTCAACAGGAACAAAAGAAAGCAGATAGTTTAATGATCCTGGCATCTTAGTGCGTTCACGACCTGCCAACTCTTTAAGAATATCTCAAGAGCTAAACAGAAGTGAGGGAAAGAATAAAAAAATTTTTCATGTGATCCATTTTTAAAGTTATTCCTTCTTTTTGATCATTTCTTAATGTTTTGAAAAAAGCAATTGATGGTGTTTTATGTGAATCTGCAAAGTTTAAAAACTACAAGAGCTTAGTTGCTTACATAAATAAAATCTTCAATATCTCACGGGATTATCTTGTGCAATTCAGTGACACCTTACTTCTGTCTTAGAAAGCACTTGACATGAACACTTTTTGAACATTAACAAAATAGATTCCACGCCTTTTTTTTTCTTTTCTGCATATGTTAAAAGGCGAGAGAAGAGACTAGAACCTTTACCAAGCCTTCGTCGATCGAACATAAAAATTGAAAACAAAATAAAGTCAACTTTGAATTAGAATTTTCTAGAAATATTATAACCCATGAAATAGGAAGCTGGTACCTCAAAAGACGCAAACAGAAAAATTGGATTTGCTTTTCAAGCTTTAATTGCTTATGCATTGTTAAACAAAAACCGTCAAGAAAGCTATTATTTTACCATGGTAAGTGTTTGTGAACTCGTTGCGTCGGGCAAACTTCAATTTGTAGTCAATAAAAAGTGCTTTCAGTTCAAATACAACTGGAGATGACATTACCTCTGTGCCGAGAAACACGCTTTTGTTTTCACACCTTGCTTAGTTCCCCAAACTGGTTTTCGTTCGCCTGGCTTTAGCAATGAAAAGACATTTTCAGCGGCACTTGCTCAGACTCCCTGAAGCTGCAATAAAAGCATCTTTAATTTCGCAATTAGAAGGAGAGTTAGAAGCCCCAAAAGAGCACCATTCATAAACCTTTGTTCACTTAAAGGCCCATTTTCAACCGGGATGCCTTGCGCGCCCAGATCATTTTTCATATATGAAAAATAGGCTATTTTCCTCGAAATTGCGGAATCGCTTTGATATCTTCTTCCATCTTACTAATTAGGGCTTTCAAATTTCCATCTTGAATCATGTGCGAACAACAAACTATCGTAGCATCCATATCAGTAAATAGTTTTTAATTCTTACATGTATGACGGTGAAAAACGTCATTTGAAAAGTTGATGCCGCCGAAGAAGCGGTCTAGAGGAAAGCCGGGTCTGCCCGGCTCGGCAAAGGTTATTCGACTTCGAGAGTCTGTGTATGATTTATGGAGGGCAAGGAAAACAACAATGGGTTTCGGTAACACTACAGACAGTGCTTTTACAGAAATGTTATTGCATTGTTCCTACGATGGAACTAGAGACTCCGGGGAGATTTTTWCGAGGTGAGAATAATTATTTGACTGATTTTTACTTGAGATCCTGAGATATGTATGCAAGCGATCTCATTTGTACAAGTCATTATTCTATAATTGAAATGCGTAAAGTAAATCAGTTTTGGCCAATATTGGTTATTTGTTTATATTTTATTTAGTGTTGAAACCGAACAATTTTCTTCAACATCAAGAAAGCTTTGTACAAGTTTTATACACAGACTTGATTTATGATTTTTCAGTCTCTAACATTTAGCTGCAAATTTGTTTACTGTGTTCTACACCAAATCTTTGTTTTTCTTTTTAATAGTGTTTGTGAATGACTATCAGAGTTCGCCATTTAACAATAGCGCGATTCCAAAAAAAGAAAAAAAACGACTGCAAAGGATCTCGGATGAAAATGGGCCTTTAAACAAAGCTGGATCTAAATCAAATGATGTGCTAATCTCTTCATACTCATGGTGAAGGAAGACAGTTTACGAGCGTGACGTTCGGATATCATAACTCATGCTTGGTTCATTGTGCGTCAGTACAGCTCGTTTACGTATCGCACACTTCATCCATTCAGAAACTATTCCTTTTATGACCCAACTTAGCATTTGTAAAGTTAGAATAAGAAAATTAAGACAACTAAATATTCCTTTTTCAGCCAAAGTCGCATTACACTCAATTAAAATAGCAGTAATTGCAATTGTAAAACACGTCAATTCAGTAAGCAAGGATGTTGTATTTATGCAGATACTTCCGGAAATTTCTCTGTTGCTATTTTACGTGTTCTTTTTCCCCGCTTTATTACTTCTTTTTTTTTTCATTATTTTCTATGTATTCAGTCTTTTTATTTTCTGTTTGAAGCCCTGAAATACCGCCAAAGTTTCCGGCAATGATAAGGCATCATCACTTTCGAAAAGGGACAAGCGTCTGACCTTTTCATAAAGATTAATAACCAGTTATAGACTTCCCCTGCCAAAGTCTGTTTAAAGTGTCCTTGCATGCTGAAAGTTTGTTTTCCTGTGACGTTCAAACAGAGAATAAAGAATATTTCAGCAATAAACTTTTATCGGTTCATTTCACGATGTCTTTGCCACCGACACCCACTTCATGCGATAATTAACAACTATTCACCAAAGTGGAGGTGGTTAGTGGTGGATATTTACCGAGCCGCGAAGCGGCGAGGTAAATATCCACCGCCAACCACCGACACTGAGGTGAATAGTTGTTTTAGTATATACTAAAACGGTGAGATAATATACACCACTGTTGTTAATTTGAGTGATTTCTTCGCTTGTCACGGATGCAAACCGGGACGCCATTTTTTCCCGAGTTGCACGGAGGAAAATAGCAAAGGATATTCGGAGTTTGATTACCCAATCAGAGCGCGCCTTCAACGCTATCCACTGTTTTAGTATATACTAATTGATGTTATATCACCTTTTCTTTACATCCCCACGGTGAAAAACCACAACTTTTTTTAACGAGTGAAATATTTATCTTTTCTTTTTTTCCCTTTTTAACGTATCCTATCTGAAGAGTGTCGTATTCCTATTCCACGAAGACATTTGTTTCCAATTGGTTGCCTCGTTGAGGATTTTGGTTGTGTATTCTTATGCACTCATGTCATCGAAATGTAAACTTCTTTGGTAACCTGTCTGAATCAATCCCACCTTAGTAATAAGTTTGCTGCGCAAAGATGCCTTCTGTTGTAAATTACTCTCATTCAGATACCAAATAGGGAGTAACTCCATATTACTCACAGCTTGAGATTCGCTTCAGACTATAAATCAGATCTTTTTACGGTGCGATCGCGCATGTAATGTTTATTTTAAAACTTGCTTCACAAAAGTGTCCGCCAGCTTAAAGAACTTCTGTTCAGGTGCTTCGGTGAAAGCCAGAGCCTTAGTCGGTGTCCTCCTTGCAGCGCTGCTGGGACTGGTCTGTGTGCCCGCAGGTGACGGTGGAAGACCACGTCTAACAAAGTGACGAAAAAGACCTCCAAGAAAGTTACCCTACAAACAACAATCAACGCAACAAGGTCAGACGGGTAAAAGTGCTTATTGCCCTACTGCGAGGACTGGACAGGGCTTTCCAGAAATTCCTCTGGCACTATCCAGGTCAGAGAATTACCAGTGTTTTCTGATCCTCTGAGAGGAATGGAGGGGAAACTATTTAGTGTAGGGGCTGTCGAAATATTTTTCCTCTGACAAGTTGTGACGATAAAGAGGTAAGGATGGACAATTGCATTCGATTTTGGGATGAAAAAAAGAAATGGATAACAGAAGCGGAAATACAAAGCACAATATTGCCTGGGGCTTTTCTCAATAGAAACCCACACTCTTAAGTCGCAATTTTCAAAACACTCACTCTGGCCCACACCTTTTAAAAGATATTAGGACAGGCTGGCCCAATTCAGCTTCAGAGATGGTTGAAATGGGGGCCTGGATAAACAGTCACCAGGTCAGACCACAACACCGGGTGCTATGTTCCCCCGACTCTTTGCGAAAAAGTGCGTGAGTTCTTTACAGTCCCCCTGATAACCAGTGCGGAGAGGATACAGGAGACAGGGCCTACGGTATATCGACCTAATCCTACAATTCTAGAACCTCTAACCATTTGCGGCTGTCATGACAAGGGCAGCACAACTTACCAGTTCACTACCAAGCTCTCTCTTAAGAAACTGTTTGACCCGTGGGTCCAGTCCAGGATCCCGCAAGTATCGACAAGCCTGAGAGAGAGCGATGATCAACGCATTCTCCATTGTAAACATCAGAAGGGATCTATAAACAAAAGTGGTTCCAGAAGAGTCAAGTTGGCAGTTACGAGGAATTTTATTTCCTTAAACACATTTCCAGGTAAAAGAGATACTTAGCCTTAATTGTGCCTTGTCAACCTATATAAGTACCACGTTATGTAACAACCAATCAAAACGCGTGTACAATCCAGCATATCATATTAGCTCCTCTTGACCAATGAGCGCACGAGAAGAACGGCACATGACTACATGAGGGGTATAAAGTGGGTACGTTTCAAACGAAACTGTGGTCCTTCGACGGTGGGAGTAAATAGATAACTAATTTTTTCAGCTGAGTTAGTAATGCAAATGTGCGACCATTAAGGGTTTTGAAGCTGAAATTTCGAGCGTGAGCCCTTCGTCAGAGCGAATGAAAGGTAGATAGGGAGCCACTCAAAATCTCCTGCAAAAACAGCAAGTCCTTTCAGACAAGGAGCTTCTGAACGCAACGAAAAATTGTTCAGCAAATTATACTGGCAACCGTTATACTATCGCACACATTTTAAAACATTACTTTCAGTGCACAAGTGCCTTACTGGCTTGGCACCACCTTATCTATCTGAACTTCTTCACTACCATAATAGTCCCCGTGTACTTCGTTCTAGTTCTCAGAATCTTTTAGCTGTGCCTAGATCCAGGTTAAAGAGGTATGGTGATAGAGCTTTTTCTGTAGTTGCTCCTGGGCTATGGAATCAATTGCCTCTTGAACTCAAGAGTGTTAACTCTGCTTACCAGTTCAAGACGCAGTTGAAGGCATACTTATTTAAACTGGCATGTGATGTCTCGCTCTCATTCGTGTAGTTAATAATAATAATAATAATAATAATAATAATAATAATAATAACATATCGATTTCTATAGCGCATTTCCATGTAAATGCTCTAATGCGCTTTACAACACTGTGCGGGGGACTTTTCCAGACTGCTGGCGGCAGTTTACAATAAATAAAGGAGAAATTTTACAGATGCCCCCTCCCCCCATTCCTAGTAACCAGGCCAGACCACATCACAGTAATCTCGTGATGTGGGTTCTTTAACGTCCCCTGCCGAAAATTAACTAAGTGATAGGTGCAGGAGACGGTACCTCCGGCTTTACGTCCTATCCGAGAAGACGAACCAATAGGAGTGAAACGTCTTGCTTAAGGACACAACGTCAAGCCCCAGCCAGGACTTGAACCCGGGCCATCTGACCCAGAGTCCAGCGCAATGACCACTGGACTACTTCATTTCATTATAACAGCTATTATCTTTTGTATTTTATAGTTTAACCATCGTTGTACAGCGCTTTGAGCAATTAGTGGACACAGCGCTCTGTAAATGTTTTTCATTACTATTACTTTATTATACATCTTACCTTGGTAGTGACTCGGACAGAGTTCTAACTGGTGACTTAACGGGTGACTTTAGGTCAGCCTTCGGGAAAGAAAAGGTCAAAAGTCAAAGGGTAAGACAGGTGATACTGAGAGGTGTACCACATATAACTGTGAAAATTATAAAAGTGGAATGCGTTTGCTTAGCACGAGTGGCAAATTGTCAAACAGCTGATGTAAATAAAGTCTAAAATTTGTTATTAGCATTTTTTGCACAATAAGTAAATATACATTTCACTCAGAAAAAGAAAGGTTCCTAGAGAGTGCCAGACACGTATAATCTGGAGAAAACATACTCACAGGGCCAAGATTGGAGAGGGCCATACCGAGGCAAGCCAAGAGAGTACCAAACGACAAAGGCTCCTCAGTGTCCACTGTGGGGGAACTGAACCCGAGAGAAAGCAGCGGTGGGAATTCCTCAAGATCCATACCCTAAAAAATAACACAAAAAATAAATGGTTAAATACTTTTTCGAACAAGTAAGTTTATAAGCAACTTATACAACCCATATCGCTCTCCCACCTGATCTATGAGAATGCCACAAATGTCAGGTGTAAATTGCCGCAGCATCGCCAATGAGTTGCAAAGAACCTTCAACAACCTGATTATAAAAGAAACAACTATAAATTAAAAATTTAATCAACAAATGGGGTATTGCGGCTAACGTAAGCTATTTACTTCATACACCATCACATAATCAGAGTGTTTAATTCTGTACGCAAGACTAAGGACTTAAGAAAGCAGTTCATTTTTCGCGATACACAGAACAACAGCGAAAGAATTTGTTTAGTAAGCTCACGATTCAAGATATATTTTCATGAACTTCACCAACCTCGCAAGTGTCGTAATAAAATATTTTTTCAATACAGAGCGTGCATAAGTCAAACCATTTCTTCGTATATAACCACAACCTTCAGCCCTAAAGAACGTTAATTCATCTATTTTATCTAAACTTGAAGCACACTCACTGGGTCTGGGTTTGAGAGACTAGGGGGCTGTTTCTGAAAGAGTCGTCATCTGCATATGAGTATGTTCTGAGCATTTCTCTGGAGAAAGTTTGGCTCAGCGAGAGCTGCACATCTGGTGTCGAGGCTGTTGAGCTTGCCGACCCTTTGGACACCTAATTTAAGACAACCATCAACAATTTTCAAATTCTGCACATAAAACTTTTGAAATATAGTGGAACTCATCACAGTAATAAAAAGCTATGTTCGTCACCTTTTAATTGCCAGTGTCAGGAAAGACCTCTCAACAAGAAGTCTATCGTTATTAAAACCCATCTAAAAATTAACCACCTCTCGTTTCTTTTTCATTTCGCATGGAGCAGAGGGAACATATTTAATATGACAAACCAGCTAAAGATAACGTAGATTAGCATAGGAAGACATTTTCCACTTACCTCAAGCAAGTGAGCAAGCAATCTTGGGTGAGTCAGCAGGGCTATGCAGCTTTGGCAAAGTACACCAATACGCCCCTGAAAGAGAAATTATCGTTTTGCTTAAACTGAACTAAAAGTTGCCAAACCTCTTTCTCTTTTGGGCTTAAAAAACTATAACATTCTACAGGTTAAGTTCCACATTCTTGGTTACATACTCCAATTCATTGATTCTAATGATTCCATCGCTTCAAGTATTGCACAAAACCATTCAAGTATTGATGGTTACCTGAAGTAATATCAACACATCTGGCAAAGTAAATCTCCACTCGTGGAAAAAATGAGCAAGTTCCAGTAAGAAAGCAGTCACTTCCTCTGCTTCCGTCAAATTGTCTGAAGACTGAGACCGCTGCACGGAGTCAAGGGCCTGAGAAAAACGAGTCAATGAGTTTGAGAAATACTCGTGGAAAGAAAGATGTACGTCAAGAGAAAGGACAAACATTCTTCATCCAAAATAAGTTTGCTGAAAGCCGTTCCTCAGATGTCTTTTATGACCATGTCAAGAAATGCAGATCAGTTAAATCAATTTTTACCATGCCCACATGGTTTGACGATCTAAGAGAAGTTTATCTTATAAAGAAGTTCAATTCAAAGAGTTTTACCCGCGTGTGAAAACCAGTTGCCTTCCTGCTGAGAACGTTAATGAAACCCCTGAGCTGGTCACTCTTAGGAATCAAAGGGTTATATCAAATTAACATTCTTAAATTATATACTAAACATAACCCTACTAGCAGCATGCACATGAAACAAAAATCTTAACCTCGGCGAGTCTCTCTCTGTGTACTCCTGCAAAGTCTAGCGCTTCTTTTAGAAAACCATGTCTGAGTGTACGCAGCACAGACGCCATGACAGCAAGGGAAAGCTGCCACACTTTATCCCAGCTTCGTTGGCTGCTTTTGTCCGAGTTGTGAGTGGATACATGGGACTGGGGACCAGATTTAGGCTGAGAAGCCTATGAGAGAGAGTATCGTTAACGTGAGGGCTTCAAGAGCGTTGTGGGTAATATAAGAACGCCGATTATAAAAGAATCTACATGTAGTATGCACAACGTAAAGCCGGGAATATGACAATAAAAATGTAACAGTAAAACTTAAGACTGAAGCACGAACGGATGCGCAATTCTACGTAAGATATACCGTGCATTACAAATGGCATTGAAAACAAACAAACACCAGGGCAGGTTTTAGCGGACTGCTTCAAGCGTAGACCTGTTGTTGGATTGAAATGAAAATTATGTACAGTCTTGAATCCGTCACACATGAGGAATACAACCACCAGCTTTAAAACTTTGGCCATAGTCCTTGACGTAGACGATAACTACCAGTTTCAAGAGGCTACAATTATTACTTTCCGTTTTCTATCAGTCGTTTGAGATTACTGGCTAACATAGGATAAGGAAGAAGAGTCACGCCTATGCAATAGGCGTTTAAAGTGCTACTGAAACGAAATTTTCGTATCTGAAATATTTGCTCTAACCTGTAGTTTTGAATATGCTGATCATCATGAGATAATTTGCTTTGGCCAAAAAGAAGCGAAAGATATCTTTTTTAACCGTTCAAATAAAAAATTTTACACAAAACCATGTCCGGGCCCTGGTACCGAGCGAAATGGATTGATGATGTCACTGGTTGTGTTCACTCCGATAGCGTGGTTTATTTCACTCACTGTTTGTTTGTATTCGTGGGCGAAGGAGATGGCAGATATTGAAGTTTTGTCAAGTGAATCTTCTTCTGAACGAAGCGAAGTTGTCTCCAGTAGCGAAGAGGAAGATTGTGGCGTAAAATGGGGTTGACAGGCCTACACGACTCCCAAGCGTGTGTTTAGAGTAGCCTATTCAAAGTTTAGCCCTCACGAGTATGTCTTTGAGCGCCCGCCCTCTTTTGTAAGATACGGGCGGCGGATTTTTGTATAGTTCACTCAGTAGTGGTTGTCTTTCTATTAAATGCCAGTTTTTCATGAGAATTTGCTTTATGTGTGGCACTGAGTACGTACATCAGGGATTGCGTCTTTTTCGAATCGTTCGCCTTTGTAGATGTACAGCTATTTTTTTGACTGTCTCGATCGTTAAGTTGTCTTGATTGCTTTCAGCTTGCGCCACGCGCGCTGATTCGATCGTACTACAGTTCTTAGTGCTCAGTGTTCCAGCCATTTTGGCTCGTTTTCTTTTCTTTATTTCGGTATTAAAACGACTGATTTCACGTTCATAGAAGCACATGATCGCCTTTACTGTTTCTTGCTCCGCGTTGTTAAGGATTTGCTTTATCTCACTTTTGAAATCCTTGTCTGCTCTTATTTTGGCCCTCGCCCTATATTGTGGCGATTCTGGGCATGTTCTGCTAGGCATTCGGTACAGAGGGATTTGTTCGTTATCCTCAGACTTGCCGAGTAGATCATCTTTAGTGGCGGTGTCGTATGAGGCTTCCATGTTTTCTTCATTCTCTGAATGGCATTGCTTTGGCCCGGGGCGTTTAGTAGCCCATCTGCCGTTATAATGTCTTTCGACATTTTCTGTAGATGGTCAGGCAAGACCGCGGTTTCGATCCTAATCTTGTGGATCTCGTCAGTTGCCGATTTACTAAATAGACTGGTAGAGATTCGTTCTCGATATCAGTCGGGAATTTTGTTCCCTATCCAGGCGAACCTCTTGCAGATAGCCAAGATGCCGATGTGGCCGCCAATGAATAAGACGAGGATGGCATTTTGCCCGAAATCCTCTTTTTCGGCCTCTCAACCTGCAAGTCACACTCCATGCTTTTACCTTTCTTATACAGAAGTACACAACCAGTGACGTCACAGGGCTGTTTTGGCCGCGCCAAGATGGCCGCCAATTTTGATCTCAGCCGGTCAACTTCGAATAGTTAAAAATGTACTTTCCGCTTTGCGTTGGCCCAAAAAAAGTACACAGCGTTTGCAAATAACGTTCAAACTCTATTATGTTGCAAATATCTCGGATATGAAAATTACGTTTCAGTAGCACTTTAAAAAAGGGAGAAGTAAAAGAGCTGAACGGAAGAGATAATTACCTGTGGCGTCTCTACAGAGTAAGTCAGTGAGGCCAATCCTAGACACAATGGTTGAGATATATTGTTTACAGCCAGGGCTTCAGCACTCTGAAAAAAGGAAGCGAGAAGTTAGAATAAATAGTACATAATGGCTCACAATACTAGAGATTGGGCAATTTCGCAATCGCGTTCATAAGTCAAGACACATTTCTTACCATTGGTATCCTTGACAGTGAAAGGAACAAGTGAAGAATGGCCTCGGTGAATTCCACATTCTCGTGCATCTGAATAAGAAAATATATTTGCAACAATGTTGATGACTAAAGTTCATCCTAAACGCTGTAAACAGATTATGTAAAACTTATGCTGATTGATTTCAAAGGTTTCCCTGTACCTTAATACACATGTCCAAGGCCTGAACCAGAGACGCAAAGAGCGCATGTTCTCTCAGCACAGGAAGCCACTGACCAGGGTTGGCGAGCAGAATGTTCAGAATCTCATCGATGATAAACACGGACAGTTCAAGAACCTACAAACATAGCGCAAAAAATGCCAGATTTATATATTGCGCAATCAGAATACCATTACTTGTACAAACAGATAACTTTGCAAGCAAAAAGTGAAAACTTATCCATGGGATGGACAAATAGGTAAAAAATAGTTGAAAATTTCACCATACCCTGTCTTGTTGCTTCTGTTCGCTGGAGAATCTTCCTCTTAAGTATTCCAGAGGTTCACAAGCCAGTGGTAAGAGAACCAGAGCATGGCTACTCTGTAACTTCTCTGAATAAAATAGGCAAAATATTGTCATCTCCACACTTCTGAAGAAGGTTAAAAGCTCTTATACCACATAAACAATAACTGAGTAGCTATGGCCTTTGGTCTGACCACTTCGTGGCATATGGGTGATGCAGCTGTAAACCGACCAATGACCCAAACATTTACCCCGAATGGAAAACTGTGTGTAAGAACTAATAAGAGTAACACATTAACGCGAACCAGTTGCTACAAAAAAAGTTTGAAAAACTTATTTGAAAGCAGTAAAAATCAAAAATCAAAGAGAGAGAGCTCTTCAAAGTTACGAAAGCCTACACTTTGATTATCACGAATACTCTCTTCAAAATGGATCTCTGCTCAGCAGAGATAGGAATACAGCTTCTTGGGAATAGAGATCTCACTATCACCATAGCAGTAAAATGAAAATGATGGCGTAGCTGTGATAAATCTACAACGAGATTTCTCTGAGGAATCACTCTTTGTCAGGTAGAGTCAGTTATGAGGCAAACGGATCAATGTCCGTATCTGACCAACTGCGTACCCACCCCTCCCCTAATGCAACCTAGCTTGCTATTGTTGGGTTAGGAGAGGGGTGGGTGCGCAGCTCCTCAGATACTGACACTGGGCACTCACCAGATAAGTGTTCAGTCCTGGCGTGCTGAAGCAGAACTGAGATGGACGAGAACATGGCCACACGGATATGGACAAACAACTGTGCGTCATTCTTGTGCGCTGTGTCAATGATATCCACCAAGCACTGGAACAATGTATTGAGCTCCTCAAGACAGCTGAAAGACAAGGATCGAGTTCCTTAAACATTCAAAAGTCCACTAGGGTCACCACGACCTTTAACCTTTTAATTTTGCGCTTCTCCTTTGATGAAACTTTCATGTTCACGAGTTAAAATTTAACCAATGACGCACGTTACTGTGAATTCATCCAGAGAAGAGGGGCGGGGGTGAGGAGGCAAACCGCTAGTAACAAAAGGGCAGAATCTATAGTTTTTGGTTCAAATCCCCCCGGTACTCTATCAAAGCTCTCAAAAATCGAAACAATACGTTAACTTTCCAAGGAAAAAATTCGAAATCTGTCGAGAAAAGCTAGGCATATGCAACGACAGCCCTTTACAACATTAAATAGCGTAAACGAAACAGTAGGTAGGGAGTTACCTCTTCCATTTCTTGAGCAACATCAGATAAAGACTAGTCAGTTCAACAGAGGCATTTATACTCTCTACAGATACAACTCTGGAGACCTGAGAAATATAAAGTCAAACGTCAGTATACAGCGTAAATACTCACCGCACAACCACAGTTCGAGTGGTGAGATTTAGCACACAACAACTTCCCACTAGCCTGTAACCAAATGTGACGACTAAACAAATTATGTTGGGAACTCGTACAAAGCTTCCATTTTGACTTGTGACCTACAAAATGTGCCTCTTTTCCTTTTTCCATGACGGCTATTTCTAGAATGTAAACTTCTGTGAAATAAACATATTTATTCAAAATTACAAAGGGTGGGAAGGGGAAAAACTCACGAAAAACAAAATTTTCCATCCCTTGTGACCAAGACTGTAAAGATTGTAGAGACTCTGTAACTGAGTGTTTCTAGATTTTTTGCTTTACTGGCCAAAACATTTCACAATACCACAGCACTGGATGGTCGAGACATGTCTGCTTTTGAACTCTGCCACCTGATAGCGATATGGTACTTTTAGATACAACACCTGAGACTTGAGTGCCTGAAGAGTATCCTCCAAGATTGATCTTCTCCGACGCGTATCATTTAGACCAAATATCTCAGTCTGAAACGAAATATAACAAAGTTTACAAAACACAATGTGTACCTCTTCATAAAGAAGGCAGAACCTTAGAATAGTGAAAATCCGATACAGCTTTCTTGTTCGGGATTTCCTATTTCTGAAAAGTGCATTAGCAGGCTTAAATTCTCCATAACATGTTAGAACTTTACTCCTTTACAGGGTTCGTACACTTTTGACCTGTTAAAATTCCATGACTTTCCGTGACTTTTTTCCATGAATTTTTGAAAGATTCGATGACCTCTTTGCAAACATTCTCACAATGCGTGCTTCTGTTTATTTCTAATGAAATTAAATCTGATATTTGGACTCGTCAGTTAACTTTTCAACTTTGGGTCTAATTGCCTTTCACTCATAGAGAGCATATTGATTTTCCATGACTTTCCATGACCCACACCTAAATCTCACGACTTTCCAGGCCTGGAAAATGAAATCTTGAAATGGCATGACTTTCTAGGTTTTCCCTGACCTGTACGAACCCTGCTTTATAAGAAATAAGTCACCAGCAGTTTTGGCTTCAACAAAGTCACAAGGATGTGAATTCATTTAGTATATATTTGGTATAATTTATTTCATTGAATAAATCTTTTTCGGTCAAGATGGTTGGATATTGGTTCTATTATGTTTCAGCACGAACTATCGCGGAGTCGAGGCCTATGAAACGCCAAAATGCAACCATACTGACCCGACGCTTTGTCGGTATCACACACTTCCGATCTACCCTCACTCAGGTCAACTTAAAACAAAGTCGAATCCGCCTTAACAACCAATTGTAAACCTTACGTACAGACACACGTGACAAGTTTATTAGCATAGGCAGCCATAGCAAAAATTATCAAAATGGAATTAACTCAAGAACGTTTCTAGTACCTGAAAAGAAGAACAAACGACTAAATACGTTCTCCAGGCTTTGAGCATTTTGAGTTTCTCTTCCTCAAATTTTTTGTGTTGATCATCCTCCACAAATTGCTCCAAAGACTTGAGGAACTGCAACAGAAAATTCAAGTGTGACACCATAAGTAGTTCGAAGACTCAAAAAGCCAATGTAGAATTATGCAGTGTTTCAACTTGGAGAAATAAATATATCTTATTAGACGGTTATTTTTGTAGTATCGCTGAGTATTTTAACGAGTTGCGTCGTATTTTGACGAGCCCGTAGGGCGAGTCAAAATACAAATAACGAGTAAAAATACTCAGCGATACTACACAACAAAACGTCTAATAAGATAATTATATTTATTATCCAACTAAACCTAGACGAGTACGAATAACGCCATAGACGAGTACAAATATCACGCGGTATTTGTACTCGTCTATTGTTGTACCGGTTAAACGGGTTTTCTCACATCGCGTAAGCGAAGAATTGGATTGTGGTTACGAAAAAAAATGTGGCGGACAATTTGAAACATATTTCCAACGACGAAGAGTCAGAATGACTGGCAAATATAGATCCAAGTCCATTTGATGAATCGAACGAAGAAAAACAGCTTGACGACTAGAAAATTTCTTCACTTAATGAACAAAATATAAACAGCAACACAACAACGCGCCAATTCCGTTCCGCTTCGCATACTTCTGTCACGCACTCCCCGTAAATAAATATCCGCGAAATTCGCCCGCTGAAACAACAGTTTGGCGTGTTGGATAATAAATAACTTATTAGACGTTTTTTTGTGTAGTATCGCAGAGTATTTTTTCTCGTTATTTGTATTTTGACTCGCCCTACGGGCAAGTCAAAATACGACAACTCGTAAAAATAATCAGCGATACTACACAACAAAACGTCTAATAAGATATATATATTTTGGACGATTCTGGAAAGAGTTTTCTCTTATTTAGCATATCATGAATTCCCTGACTTTCTGTTGTATTTCATCTTGCATTAAAGTTGTTTTTTCTTAAAATAAAAATGGCCTGCGGTGTTTTTGTGCTTAAAGTTAAGAGCACTCAACACTAGTTAACAATCATAATGCGGGATTTATCACTCCTTTTTCGCTTAAGTGATTCTTTTGTCCGAAAACGACATCTATTAATCATCTACTCTATTGTTACATCTTTACATAAGGAATGAAAAGTGGCCTTCCCCCAGAGATCATAAGACCGATAAGAGGAGAATGTTTTTCGCAAAGCACTATGAGGTTTTGCGTTCGAAAACACAAAAAAATAGTCTGTATTTATCTCGTATCGCATAAAAAATGGACAGGCTGCCAGTTGTGGAAAAATAGGTGAATATAAAGTACAAATGTGTGTTAAGATACTAAGCGTTGCCCTCATGAGAGCGGCATAGGGTTTATGATAACAGCGAACTACAGTTTACTGCTGCTTTCGCGAACAATAGATACATTAGTGTTGTTTAATGAAGTTCTTCATACACTGACTACAACATCGATCAGATAAAAAATGCTGTCGCTGTTTTTCTATTTATTGGCACGCGCAAGCCTTCAAACACAAAATTACCAGCCTGGAGGACATCCAAACAAACAGATAATAGGCTAACAAAGTGTATAAGGCTTTTTCCATAATCGTATTCAGCGCTCCAAGCTCAATTTTTCAAAAAGTCGCCGTTTGGCGACCTTTAATAGTAAAATGGTCGCCATAAAAAAAAAAAAAATTCAGTCGCCCCCCTCCCCCAAAAAAAAAAAAAAACAGAAGGGGAGGACACTTCATGATATATTACACGAACGGCTAATGCGCCGAACGGCACGTTTTTACCACTTAACTTTGCTACTGTAAGAGAAAGAAAAGGAAGAGACTGTATAGTAGCAAAAACGATTTATTTCAACATTACAAAGCTGCTGAGACCGTGCAACATTGCCAATTGCTCCTTCAAATCGATCAAATTTTCCATTTTTTCACGCAGTCGAGTTTCTGAACGACGAGAGGCGAAGAGAGAAACGCAGGTGATGCCACCGCTTGTACTATTGATTAAATTCGTCCTATTGTTGATAATTTTTCAAGTTTCTCTTTTAATCTGTTGCTCGCCAATTGGCGACTTTCGCCAGAATTTTAGTCGGCAAATATTTTTTCACCCGCCATGGCGACCAAAATGGTCGCAGCTTAGAGCGCTGGTATTGGTTCATGAAAAAACCTATTTTGATGTTCGACAAAAAAAAACATAAAAAAAAATAAACAGTTTAACGTGGAAAAACACTTAGCTAGAAGCTAGTTTACAGGTTTTCCACCAAATAACTGAAACAAATAATTCAAATTGAAAATAACATTATTAAGAATCCCAACTTTATTCAGAATCCCAACAATAGTAAATATTGCGGTTGTTTTGAACTGCGGTTATAGATACGTATGACGCACATGTATCTATAACTATAATACGTATCTATTGTTTTGAACTGCGGTTATAGATACGTATGATGCACATGTATCTATACCTATAATACGTATCTATTGTTTTGAACTGCGGTTATAGATACGTGTGATGCACATGTATCTATAACCGCAGTTCAAAACATATAAACTTCATATATCCATCGTAATTGCGGTTGTTGTCACTCACCAGGATTTCACAAGAAAATTCTTTCGAATTTTAAATCATTTTAGAGCCATGCACGTTTCAATTGTCTGAAACTGTTGATGTTGAAAACATGACATGTAAACATCGCCAAAATATGCAATATCTGATTTTTGAGCTTCATCCGCAAATCGTCCGTACGAAAAATAGAGGCCGACCCGCAGAAATTTTTACGTATTTTAAAACTGAAAATATTATAACCAACTAGGTGCGTAGTTTCAGTTCCAGAATTGGTGTATCTTTGGAGAAACTCAGAGAAACGTTTTGTCTCTTTTACCCTACAGAAAAAATGATCGAAACTGTACCGAGATAATCTATTGGTGTGTTCACATTCACTTTCAGGGAAAATTAAATGTGTCAGAGTAAAGACAAATAATGTCAATTTCTTTGGTAGAAGTACCAAATTGTGATATTGTATCTAGTTTGAGATAGAGAAATAAATATTTTACACTTTTTTACGACTTTTTTTATATGAAAATGAGGCCCCAGGCAGTCCGGCGTTATTACCATGGCAACAAGAGTGCGGCACCCTTTACGCAAGGGCCTTTTAGTGCAGCTCTTCTGAGTGCCTAGATGCGAGCAACATTTGAAGGGGGGTTGAAAGTTTTAATTTCCCAGGACGTTTGATTCTTGCGAGACTAATTCTTAAATGCTCTATGTGATGGTGTAATCTGATCGTTCGAGTGACTAACAAACTAACAAAACTAAACAGCAAAAAACAAACTTTTGAAAATTTTGACCAGATTTTGCTGACAGCAATCTTGACTCTCATTTGAACCTGATTTGAAGACTTCCGCTACTTTATCCACTCCCCCGCTCCCAGACTTGGGCACGGATACAACAACCAATCTCGCAAACCAAGAGCGTGACAATTTAGCTCCATACCGCTGCTCAGTGTGGCCTACAATTTCCTAGCAAACTGACGTTGCGGAACGAAGTTTGTACTAACTTTCGTGTTTGCTTGACTGACCGATTTGTACTACCAAAATCGATTTGAACCGTGCCACCACCAGAAGTCATGTTTACCGTAGAGAAAAACTGGCGCGCAACAAGACCAACCATCAAAGAAAAAACAAAGTTCCTGCTCAACAGCGAACTCTTCAGCGATATCAAGTTTGTTGTCCGCAAGATAAATGGCGAAAGTGAAAGTAAACAATTGATTCCAGCTCACAAGTTTGTGCTGTCCATAGGCAGTCCTGTGTTTGAGGCCATGTTTTTCAGTGACCTGGCCGAGAATGAAGACTCTATTACACTGCCTGACGCCGAGTACGAGAGTCTGTTGGAGTTTTTTCATTTCATGTATGGCGATGAAGTGAATTTGAGCGGAAGTAATGTGATGGGAGTGTTGTATTTGGCGAAGAAATACATGGTCCCTTTACTCGCTGATAAATGCAACGAATATTTGCAAGATAACTTGGATCCATCGAATGCTTTCAGTGTCCTGCCATCTGCTGAGAAATACGATGAGAAAATCCTGGTGGATCGATGCTGGAAAATGATTGATAAGTTGACGAAGCGAGCCGTGAAATCTGATGGATTTCTTGAAATCGATAGGCCACTACTTGAACAAGTTGTCAAAAGAGACACACTGACAATTGAGGAAATTGAGTTGTTCAAAGCTGTTGACTTGTGGGCCACAAAAGAATGTGAGCGACAGCGTTTAACCGCTAATGGTTCAGTGAAGAGAGGTATTCTTGGAGAAGACTTAGTCAGAGCCTTACGCTTCCCAACAATGAAACAAGAAGAATTCACCAGTATTGTATTGAACAGTGACATTTTAACAAACGCGGAAATAAAAGATGTCAACAAACATCTTAGCTCAGTTGCGACGTCTTCAACCATTTTTCCGGATACAAAACGAAGTGGCGTATCGAATGATATCAAAATATGTTGCCGGCTGGTCAGATTATGTGCCCAGCATCAATGGAAATATAATGGCCGTAAGGATTGTATCGATTTTTCGGCGGACAAAGATATCATAATATATGGAATGTACCTCTTTGGTGGTAAGCATGAATCTTATTCGGTAAAATTGGAACTAATAGACACAATAACTAAAATAGCTATAACATCTACGACTAGAGAACTTTCCTCAAAGTTATTGCGACACGGAAAACACAGATACTATGGTTTTGAAGTGTGTCTTGAGAAAGCAGTTTTACTTAAAAAGAATACAAGATACAGTATAAGTGCTTTAATATCAGGTTCTGATTCGCAGTATGGGTTTGAATGCATCAATCCTGTTCAATGTTCGGGAGTAACATTTACATTCTATAATAGTGACGACTCAACTAATCAAACAAACGTTAATGCTGGTCAATTCCCCGTACTGCTGTTTTCTATTTAGAGCATTGCGGTTTACAGAATTTACTTCGGGCTCGTAGTAAGATTTAAAGCCTAAATTTTACAATAACAATGTAATATGAAAATCTTCCTTTCAGTTTCCCTGTCTCAATAATTA